CTGTCTCTTCATTTACCTCCTCTTCCTCCATTTATTCTGTCTGCTCCTCCTCTTCTGCCTTTCTTTTCTTTCTATTCATCTTCTGCCTATGCCTCATTTTGTTCCTCCTCTTTTGTATTCTTGTACTTTACTTCCTCTTCCTCCTCCTTATCTGCCATTTTCATTTCTTTAACCTTCTCTTTCTCATTTTCTTGTTCCTACCCTTCCTGCTTTTCTGCCTCTTCCTCCTCCTCTCCTTCTCCTTCTTCTTCTCCTTCTTCTCCTCCTCCTCCTCCTCCTTTTCTCCTTCCTCCACTTTCTCTTCTTCCTCCTCATCCACCTTTCCCCCTTCCTCCACTTTTTCCACTTATTCCACCCATACCCACACCCCCTCCTCTACCTATACCTTCTCTTCTACTTCTACTTCCACTTCTTCCTCCTTTTCATCCTCTTCCTACACACTCCATATGCTGAGTGGTAAACTTGCAATGGGATTAAACATAACAAAAAATGAAAATTTTACTTTCTGTTTCAGCATTTTAATCCTCGGGTATGTACTTGGCTCAATAAATGTCAATGATCTCCAGAAGATTTCAACCTTGTTTTGATTGTCAAATTATGGGTCGGAATATGCCTGTAATATTTAAAAGTTTGTGGGCAAGATGACTGTCGTCAAAGTGCACTTAACGTTATGGTAGATTCTTGTTGTGCATTTTTATTCAAGGCTAAAGGATACAAAAGCTGAAATCACCAAATGAGTAGTTTGTATCCTGATAAACAGATACCCATTTTTAGTGAGGTATTGTTCAGCTTATGCAATGATTCAAGCATACATTTAACATTAGGTGAATGTAAACTGTCAGAGTAAAAAGGTACCCAACCATTAACCCATTTACTGTGGGCTGACCTTCCCTTACACCAGGATAATGTTCCATTACAATATGTACGGTTCAGCCAGCTCTAGTTGTGCACACTAAATAGTTGTTCAAGTGTTTGGCCCTGGCTCTGGTCATTGAGAAGAAACAAATCAAAAATAGTTATAAAGCCTCTTTTAGCCTTATTGCCTAAACAGTTACTTATACCACAGCTAAGAGCATAGAGATCGGGATTGATTTATTTTTTCCCAATTTTAAATTTTTCCTTCATACAGCAGACATGTCCTTTCTTATAGCTTGCATTAATTGTTTTTTAGAAATTTATGCTGGAAAAACACTTGATCCTGTTTCCTCAAAAGAGATAATTCTTCATTTGATGTTATTTTTAAAGCTTTGTTTGAACAGTTCTCATAGAATCAGTGAATATGAATATAGTTAAATGGAGTGGTAAAAGGAAAAAAATGAAGAAACATATTTTATGTGATAAAAAAAAGGGAAAGCAGTCTTATTGGACATAGTGTCAAACTATATTTTATTTTCCAATAATTGGCTTTCCCTAGTTCATTGGTTGAGAAAATATACTAAAAATTAATTAAATAAAAAAAAGTCTGGTATAAAGATGTAAAGATACAAAAACTATTTTATTGTTTTATGATATTACAAAAATATGGAAAAAACTATAGAGGTCTTTAGATACCTTTAAGTAAAGGGCAGCTGCATTACCTTTCTAATTCTTTGGTTTTCTGTTCACAGTTACTCATTTGCTATTGTGGGGATCAACATCACCCACATGGCCTACAACCTGCTCCGTTCAGGAGATGCAAAGAATCACTTTTATAATGCGTGTAAGAGGTTTCCTGAACCACGAGTATTCCACCAGTTTTACAGCTACCTCTTCTTCTCGTTCGACGACCTCTGGCGTCAGGAAAAGCCTCGCGACATGATGGAGTTCTCACGAGTTAGAGACAAGTTCGAAGCTCAAGTGAAACAAAAACTCAAGAACCCAACCACCTTTTTCAAGTGTGAGTTTGTTTTAGAAAACATTTGATGTGTGAGAACCAGATTATGGTGCCATATGATTAAAGAGGTCAGTAAAAATCACATATTCGTGTGATGTTACTAATGGAGGATTTTTTCTAAGAAGGAAATTCTGTTATTATGGTATTTTGTTACCTTTCATATTTTAGATATTCTAGCATAAAAGTTGACCTGAAATATTTCTTTACATGAATGAAGATGGAAGTAATCCAATAGTTTTTAATCCATTTTTTGTTTTTTTCATATTTAGTCACCGTTACTGAAATAAGGTGTTTATAATAATTGAAAGTGAGAGGGATGTAAAAGGTTTAGGGAAAACAAGACTGGGGCAAAATAAAATTGCAAGACAAAAGTGAGAATAATAAGATAGAAAATAATGATGGAAGGGGGAATGGAGAAAAATATTTGATGGTATATACTTTGATATATATTTTGGTTACCTGTTCCTCTGTTATATTCCATCGGGTACTGAGACCAAGGAATATAAAGATAAAAAAAAAGAAAAATGTAGACATTATTCACCAGTATTTCTAAGGTTATTTGTTTTGTTTTTTGATTCATAGTATCTCTGCACAAACACTTGTGATATACTTATGAGGTTTTAAGGTGTTGTTCTGAAGCACAGAAAATTACCTATATATGCTTGCGCACAAGTTGGTAAAATTTGAGTGTAATTCAGGTTTAGCCATATATCAACAGGATAAGATCCCCCCCCCCCACACAAAAAAAACACTATTGTATGAAAAAACAACAACAGTATTTCATAAATTATTCTATGATACATTTTTTTTTTTTTTCTAAAATAGTAGTCACAAGTGAGTTATAACACACCTTACCTTAATGAACCTAGCCTGCCCTAATCTCTATGTTAGATAGACCTACCAAACTTGAGTTTCAGTAGGAAATAATTATTCAGCATACAAATCAACCCCTTGTTTTGGAGATACTTTTAGTTTTCCAATGTCAACTTATACGTCAGCATATATGGGAAAATGAAAACATTCACTCATTTATCATAAAGGTTGTAAATATAGAGCATATTTATTATAATCAGATTGGGTTAAACTTGAATCTAGATTAAATTAAATGGACAGAAGTATATCCTACACTTGTATCTTGGTATGAGGACCTTCATATACCCATCATTTAGATTGTAATTTTCCCTTTTTTTATTTACAGATTGTTACTCTTATTGTTACTTTCCTATTTATTTTATTTACCTATAGTCATTTGTTCTATTATGTAGATTTCTCATTATAAAGAGTTATAAAGTAATCAAAGCACACAGTATTGGGATAACTGGGAATGACAAGGGCTAAGGAGAAGAGGCTGAGTGTAGAAGTCTTTTCAGGAAAAAAAGTTGAACAAAAGACAAGAGGAATGTTAGATTAAACTTAGCCTTTTTCATCCATTTGTTTTATTACATATACGGTTTCTGTAAAAAGAGGAAAAAGTAAATGCAGGTTCAACTTTTTTTCCCTTGAATAAAGCATAGGAACTGCTATTGGATAGAATCTGCACCACAATATTAGGTTGTGGAATCAACAGCATTGCCATGCACAGTGATCACACTTGCTTTCATCTACGCCACACAGACACGGAAAGCATTTTTTGCTATTTATAACTCTTTCTTCACATTAATTTGCTTTACAGATAGAGAGGACTGAAGTGTAGATAGCAAAATCCTGTGACATCTCAGCAAGGTCTGGGGCATTATCATGAATAAGACATTTCAGTACATAGATTTTCTAACTTTGCACATTAGTGTGCCTTTAAAGTTGTAAATAAGTACATACTACTAAAAAATCATTTCAACAGTCCTTGCACTCATTAATTGTTCCAGAAAATAAAGACAAACACAACATTAACAATATGATTTTTACACCATGATTTCCATAATATCCTTCAGGTATTTCCTCATATCTCCATAATATTGATTCTTTTAAATCATAATCACCGATAAAAAAGGATCTCAGGCTTAAAGTCCAGATAAATTAGGGTATTTAGATAGAGTAGAGAAAGAGCTAATTTCCCTAAGCTGACTTTCTCAGCTTTGTCCATGGTGAGTGTAGCAACAAAGGCCTTAACATATTCTGTTTACTGGTGTCTGAACCACTTCACGTAGAAGAGATGAATTATTTCTCTTTATGAAAATACAACTTTACTTTTCTTTACACTTTACTCTGTTAATGTATCAAAAAAGGCCTAATTACATCTGATCGTTACATTGACTATTTCTGAGGTGTGGCAAGGTAGTGACTCCCTTTTCTCTCTTACCTGAGCCAATTGCCAATACTTGAGGATTCAAAGAGTGTGCAGAAGATCATGTTATAGAATACATTATATTGTTAATGTAGTTGCACATGATGGTGATGATGTACACTACTGTATTTTTAAGAACTATTTATTTATTTATTATATTTTTCCACTGCAGTTATCTCAGTACAGTACAACCTTAAACATAAATAAATCCTAGAATATTAATGTACATTTTTTAAAACCTTTAAGTCAATTTATTTCTGGATTTGCATGCTTGGTAAGAATGGTTGATTGCTTAGGAAATGCTAAGACAAAAGTTGTACCTCACAAAAATAAAAATGTGTTGGGTTGGGATGGTGCAAGAGTGTGTGTGTATGTGGGGGGGGGTGCATAAGGGTGCAAGTGTGAATGGTCTATATATATATATATATATTATAAGAGAGAGAGAGAGGAGGAGGAGGAGAGAGAGAGAAGAGAGAGAGAGAGAGAGGAAGAGGAGAGAGAGAGAGNGTGAAGAAAAAGAGAGAGAGAGAGAGAATTCAGAGAGATGAGAATTCGCGCTTACACCAGACAGACAAAAGAGAGGAAGAGAGAGAAATTTTCGCATTTCCTCAAACCGCAGTGCCAGGACCTGCTTCAGAGCCGACCAACTTTCTCCCTAATGAGCGTGGGTCTTCAAGCAGTCTGGACGAAACAAGCAAGAAACAAGCGGTCTAAACAAAGCCTGTTTCCTCTTCAGCTTCCTAGTCGTCTGGTTCGTCTTCCTCCTCGCTCTCATCTTCTTGCTTTTCTCATCTTCCTCTCCTTTCTATTTCTCTTGGATTTTTTTTCTATATTTTCTTGTCATTA